TTTTGTCCTGTCTTCAGCTATCAATAGATTCATGTTCCTACTATTTGAACAGAATACTAACCTGTTTCTAGGCCTTAAGTTTCAAGGAAATATCCTTACCAGTTCAAAACTGCTTTTCTTGAAACCATCAGCTGAACTTGCTATTGTAAGTAGTTATATTACTTATGATATTGTGTGATCAACGAAATTTTGGGGAAAAAGGAATTGAAGATAACTGGAGACAGCAGAGATAGTGTAATAAGAGAGTGGAATAGGGCAGAGGATCAGACATGGGGTCAAAAACATATATACACGAAAGTAGAAATGGAATATTATGGATGATAACATGCATGATTAAGCCACTATCCAGTTTATTCTAGATGGGAAACGACATTTAGTATGTTGTGATGATGCTCAGGGAATGAATGTAAATTAATAAAAAAAAGTTTTTCAGAAGAAAAGAAAAGGCATTAAAAATACCTATCTGATGACTGCAGTAAGCTATATAGCCCTAGGTAGGTGCTACTTTATAGTATGTTCATTCTATTCACTGAGGTTTATGCCTAAAGTCAGACTTGTGTTCATGGATATGTATATTTCAGCTGTGCTTGCTATTGAAAATATTTAGATTAAGATATTTAGTGAAACAATAAAATGGGGGAGGCAGAGAAAACAATAGCAGATACCAGACACAATGTGGGAGGAGGGTGGGAGATGGCAGAGGGTGAGATAGGGAATCAAGGATGGGAAAAAAGGCAAAATATACAGAAAACAAGAAATGGAAAATTATGTGTTGACAATAACACATATGTTGATGTGCTTGATTGAGCCAATATACAGTGTACTGTGAATAGAAAAATCTCATTTTGTATGCTATAATGATGTACAGTGAATGAATGTAAATAACTAAATTAAAATAAATAAATTTTAAAAAAAGAAAAGTAAAAAAATCTTAAAATTCATTTAAAAAATGTACTATCACTAGAACGTTTCAGCCTCTGTAGTGTTAAAGCAAACCTGGACCAACCGTTGATCTAATTACGAATTCTACTTCTCACAGGGCTTTTTCTGTGTGTGATGAAAACCAAGCTGTAATTGAGGTGGGGATTTAGAGATTTGGTACAGCAAACTTCCTAATAAAAACAGCACAAACGGGACTCTTATGTTGTTACATATTAAATCTTATTTGATCGATTTTACTGTATTCCAAATTGCAAACATAAGGTAGAAGGTTGTAATTATAGTTTTATTGATTCATCATTAAGTTTTAATCAAGCTGCTGCTACAGGGATGGTTATTATTTTGGCAGTGTTCCTCTATTTGTAGCTTTCTTTCATACTCACTACAACAAAGTAACTATGGGTATAGTCCACACCAACAAAATGTGTTATTGTTTCTAAGGAAGCTGTTTGCAATGTAACAATCTTCTATCAAAGCAAATGTTTTTACAGAATGCAATAGAATTTTTCTTATTGTCTTTAGATTTCCATGCCTTTCTGGTCATCAATAGCTAAGACGATTTTTGCTTCCTGGTCCCTTTTATTTTATGCCAGAAAATTTATTTTCTGTAAATTCACCTGTTTCTTTCTCTTACTTTCAGCAATCACACTTGCATGGATCTGAAACTAAAAATGTATGCTTTCCGAAACCAAAACAAGTTACTGAAACAGGAAGGCGGTAACAGATATATTTTCCAGGAACTTATTGAGAAAATTGATATGGAAAGACTTCATAAAGTTATTCAAGAAAGTTCAAAGATTAGGCCAGCTGTGGTGGTGTAGCAGTAACATGGTGCTCTGGGGTCCTGAGGCCATAGAGAAAGACCCGAGTTCATGTCCTAAGGTCTCCTTGCACATGCCAGGAACAGGTGTGCATGCCTACCACTTTGGCCAGCTAAGGATCATGGCATGAAAATCCTTTGGGGGATGTCATCCAATCTCTGTGTGTATCTATCTATCTATTTATCTATCTACCTCTCTCTTGCTCTCTCTCTCTCTGTTTTTCTCTCTGCCTCCCTCACAGAATAAACTTTAAAGTAAAAAAGAAAAAAGAAACTTCAAAGATTACTAGAGCATCCAAACCAACATGTCCATAAACTTCATAAACTTGGCACTTTTTAGCATACTAAACCAGATCAAGGCACAGCTAGGTGATTAAGGCAACTGGAACTCAAATGGCCGGATGTTCAGTTCAAGACCTAGAGACAGTGGCCTTGGAAACATGACAGGCAATGGACATGCAAGCCTAAAATTCCAAAAGGATGAAGAAAAGGAGAATACAGGATTGTGGCATGACCATTCCTCTACAGGGGGGCTTTTCCTCGTTCCCTCCCTTTCTCCTTCCTTCTCTCTCCCTCTTCCCCACATTCAGTGCATATGCCCTCTGGCAATTTTTTTAAAACGTTAACATCAAGAAATAGTTCATGTGTGAAGTACACAATATCTACCCATAGCTGAAAAGTTCTCCTCTAAAGGTTCTCAGGAACCACAGAAACTCTACACAAGGGTCTGACATTAGGCCTTATCACCTAGGAACCATGGAACCCCAAGAGACACAATGAAGACAAGCATAGCTTACAATTGAGTATCTCCAGTCTTACAGACTACCCAAAGGGCACTAAAACTTCCACGCACGATTTTTTTTTTTTTTAGAATAAAGTCCCAAAACTAACCACATTTAATGATGCTTGAATGTCAAACATTATCACCAGAAATCATTTAAACTGAGGTTAACGGGTTAAAATGTTTTAAAAATAAAGTGTAAGTTGCTCTTAAATCAAAGCATGAGCAAACTTTCAGGCAGAACTCAAGCATTCGAGTTTGTTTATATTTTTAGTGCCGGAAGGAGCATGGATTCACCCCCGTAATGGGGCACAGTCATGCCGCAATTGTTTTCCTTCTGTATCTCCATCCCATCAGGATGTGCTTGAGATACAGAGGAAATCATGCACTCCCTCCACATGTTGTTCAAGCCACCATGGCCAGGATACATGCCAAGCTCTTTCTTAGACAAGGTCTTGCTGTCTTGCTAGCACTGGAGTTTTTGCGTAGGGTCCACAGACAGAGGAGATGAAAAGCACCAGAAATTAGATGTTCATATGTCCATCTTAATGGAGAGACAAGTCATAGGTTTCAGAGACACCTAAAGAGGTCTACAGTTTCTTTTCTTTTTTTTTTTTTTCAAGTTTTTTTATTAGTTTTCGCTATAGGGCACGTATGTTCAGCAAACTCAGACAAAGAAGGGGTGAGGTAAGTGGGGAAACAAAATAACCCCTCTCAGGGAATGGTCACTTTACAATCTCTTCCATTTTCTTGCGATTTTGGGTATACACACACTCACACAATGTTCCCAGTGGGACTTTCAAACTGACTCGAATGATGCTGTCAGCTATGTGGGACCCAGATCCCTTAACCTCCATGCTACCTGCCTGTCCTCTACAGCTTTCTTCCCTTAGGTTTTTGCCATAGGGCATATGCATTACCCAGAGAGCCAAAGAGAGGGAAAGTGAAAAAGCACCCCCAGAGGGATAGCCACTCCACAATCCCTTCTCCTTTCTCCTCTCAAGATGTTGGACGCAAACACACGCCTGATATGCTTTGTAAGCCACTGGATCCAGGGCTTAAACCATGGACAGCCATGTCGGAGTTCAACACCTTAACCCCCATGCCACCTACTAGCCCTCTACAGTTTATTCTTAACCATTTTATGTTGTTTGCTACTCAAAAATCACTATATTGGTAGTCTCAATCCTTACATAACTTCAGTAAATTGTGAAGGCAATTGTTTTCTATTTTCAGAGTCCAGAGTTAACATAGGCTCTGCAAAATCAATTTTTTGGGGGGGAGGGAGAGGTTTTTGCTATAGGGCACATGCACTTGCCAGAAAGACAGAGAGTGAGAAATTCCCCCCACCCCCCGCAGGGGGGGATGGCCATGCTGCAATCCCTTCTCCTCCATTCTCCTCTCGGGAGGAGGAGCGCCCAGCATGAGTTTAAGCCACTGGGTCCAGGACTCAAACCACAAACAGCTATGTGAGCGTCCAGTGATGTAACCATTACACCATCTGTTGGTCCCTGCAGAATCAATTTTAAACCTACATGAAAAGCAAGTTTTATTAAAAAGGGGGAAAAAATCTCAGTAACTATAACATCTCTCAGGTTAATTTATTTCATAATTTTTATGAATATTTTCTTCCATTTCATTTCATTATTTCTGTGTAGTTATGTTTAACACATAGCTATATTTTTCCTTCATACTGCCTAAGACTTAATTTTTTTTAACTACCATATTGAATCCACTTACATTGATTGGGAATTATAACTTTCATAACCTAAAAAAAATTTAAAGAATTATTTTTATCTTTATTCAATGTTGTTATTATCAATTTTTTTAATTCGACCAGAGAAAGAGAAAGAGAAGTGAAAAAGCAAGCTGCCAAGTCTGCAACTTGAACCAGTCATGTGGGAGTTCAGTCTTTAACCACCACACCATGTGCCAATCCTAAAAAAGTTTAAATGAAGTAATATCTACACTGAAAATATATGCATAAAATTATGCATTTCTGAATTATTTTATATGCATAACTTGTTACTTACCACTTCTCCAGCAGAGGCAGCCAACATATGCTTCACAGGCGTCATATACGAAGATGAACCAGTATGCAAAAACCATTTCACATATTCATAGGTGATAAAAAATGCAGCAGCTGAAATTTAAAACAAGTCGGTCTTTTGTAAAGCTTATATATGCATTCAAGTGTGTCCTCCCTGGCTGCCTGAGGACTGACCACCATCGTGAATGGCACAGTACCAGGAAGAGCACGACTGACTGACTACTTCAGAGGAAACAAATGATCATCAATGCTGTCACCCTGGGAAAGCAACAGGACCTAAGACAGAGATGCGGGAAAAACTCGCCACAGTGTACAAGACCACATCAGATGCCATCCCTGTGATCTCTGTGTTTGGGTTCAGAGCCCATTTTGGTGGTGGCAAGACAACTGGCTTGGACATGATTGATGATTCCCTGGAATACACAAAGAAAAATGAACCCAAACATGCAAGACATGGCCTGTGTGAGAAGAAAAAGGTGTTAAGAAAATAGAAAAAGGAATGCAAGAACAGAATAAAGAGAGGGAAGGAGGCTGCAAAAGCTAATGCTGGTGCTGACAAAAAAAATGAGCTGGAGGGAACCGGCAGGTAGCGTAATGGCTATGTCGCTGGACTCCCACATAGTCGACCGTGGGTCGTGTCCCGGACCCGGGGGCTTAAAACTCACGCCGGGCGCGTGTGCGTGCGTGCCCAAGATCCCGAGAGCAGAATGGAAGAGAAGGGATTGCGGCGTGACCATCCCCCCTGGGGGATGATTTCTCGCTCTCTGTCTCTATGTCTCTCTCTGTCTGGCGAGCACACGCGCCCTACAGTGAAAAAAAAAAAAAATGAGCTGGAGGGAACCGGCAGGTAGCGTAATGGCTATGTCGCTGGACTCCCACATAGTCGACCGTGGGTCGTGTCCCGGACCCGGGGGCTTAAAACTCACGCCGGGCGCGTGTGCGTGCGTGCCCAAGATCCCGAGAGCAGAATGGAAGAGAAGGGATTGCGGCGTGACCATCCCCCCTGGGGGATGATTTCTCGCTCTCTGTCTCTATGTCTCTCTCTGTCTGGCGAGCACACGCGCCCTACAGTGAAAAAAAAAAAAAATGAGCTGGAGATTGGAGACTGGTCGGAGGAGTAAAGATTGTATAATGACACTCTGTCGTGACTGTGCGGATTTTTCATGAGAGGACTAATAAAAATTGTCATGTGAGGGCTGGCAGGTAGCATGGTAGGTAAGGCACTGGATTCTCACATGGCCAACCACAGTTCAAGTCCTGGACCCAGCAGCCTAAAAATCACAACAAATAAATAAATACATGTTTAATTTTTTTATGTGAAAAAGATATATATATGTGTGTATATATATATATATATATACACACACACACACACATTCAAGCTGTTAAATGTTTCTCAAAACATTAATAAATTATGAGACAATAGAGAAATATGATAGTTATTCCTATACCTTTTCTACTCTCACTGTTTCTGAATTTACTGAGGTCAGGTTATATGCTCAACCAAGGACTTACAAAAATGCAAAAAACACATACTATGTATGAGGACTGTTATCAACCAGCCTAGCATTTACCATGTTGTTCTGACAAGTTACTTAACATTGGTCAACTTTTTAGAAAGGATACGGGTTTCTCTGACTCAAAATATCATTACATACGATCATGAAACAATCGGCTACAATGATTTATAAACAGGTTAAAATTGCAAACACAGGGCCAGCAGGTAGCATAGAGGTTAAGGAGGCTGGATCCCACGTGGCTGGCTGTGCAGTTCCAGTCCTGGGCCCCAGTGGCTTGAAAATCATGCCAGGTGTGTGTGCCTGTGTGCCCAAAATCCTAAGAGGGGAATGGAGGAGAAAGGACTACAGTGCACACACACACCTGCAGTAAAACTAAAAAAGTTGCTAACATAGACTTAAATGTCTATATTTTATTCCTGGTTATTCAAAATAACCAAGGCTCTTTTTGCTTCATCACTCACCTTGACATCAAGGAAACAATCAATTACTTAATTAAAACTGGAAGTTAAAAATCTCTAAAAAGCTACTCTGACACTATAACTAATCATAGCTGCACGTCAAAGCTTTGAAACGTTCAGAGTACTGTAATCAAAAGATTCTTATCGCTTCCATAAAAGATAAGGCACAGAAGATAAATGAGTGACAAATTCATCATGTGAAGGACATCTGAACATGTCACAGTAAACTCTTAAACACTCTGGAAAACAGCTTGACAGTGAAAATCAGTTCTTCAAAGTTGACAAGGTTATAAACTATCCTCAGGCTGCACCCAAACATACAGCAGGTCAGACAAGACATGCTGTTTAAAGACCAACTCAAACACTTTCACTAGCTAAATCTCCTAGTAGCGGTTCTTTTTTTTTTTTTTTTTTTTTTTTTTTTTGTGGGGTTTTTTTG